AGAACTTTTTCTACCTTGGCGAAAAACTTTATATCCATTTATTGAAACTAGATTATCATCATAATGCTGGTGCAGCCAAGTCTCTTGTATTGCTAAAACGCCAGCATTTCGATAAACATTAGAATACGTTAGGGATTGAAGATAATCCATTTTGTTGGACAGGGATCTACAATTAGTGCTAACGAGTTCAGGAACAATCATTAGATTAATTTGTGTACGTTTCAGTGCACGCTGCCATCCACAGTGATGCTTTTTTCTCAATTTTTGTGGATGACACAACGCAGTAGGTTGTAATGATTTTAAAAATGCGCGATTATAAATAATACGATTAGAACACATTATTGACAAATTAAAACAAAAATAAAAGAGCAAACCAAAGCAATTTTGCAAAATGTTGTAAGGTGGAATTTTCTTGGTAGCCCTATGTTCAAGCAGGCCGCCGTACTCTGCGAAGTATTTGCCAAATCGCCTCTCGATCGACGCTGTCGAAGGCCTTTTCAAAGTGGATGAAGTTGAGATAGAGAGCTGACTGCCATTCCAGGCTTTGTTCAATGATGATCTGTAGTGTGACGATTTGATCAACACATGACTTGTTTCTCCTGAATCCAGCCTGTTCCGGTCGAAGTTTTTCATCCAGGTTGGCGTGTTTGATTCTCTCCAGGATGATGCGGCTAAGTGTTTTGCTTGAGATGGACAGGAATATAATGCTGTGTCAGTTCATGCATTGAATTATGTCTCCTTTCTTTGGCAGTTTGAATAAGTATCCTTTCTTCCAATCCTTGGGTACCTCGCCCTCTTTCCATACCTTTCCCAGTAGTGGCGTTATCAAGTCTGCTGTTGTCTCTGGGTCCATTTTCAATGCTTGTTCGCCGGAATTGAAGGGGCGAAATAATGTGGACTGGTGAAAGCAAGCCTTCGAGAATCCAGTCAGCCTGCCGATGTGTATTCTCTCTATGGAGTCAATAATAAGATTGGGCACGTAGAATGTTACTACAATGTACGAGGCCGACTGGCAACGTCACTCTGTTAGCCGGAGAAATGCGAAGATATGGCATAGAAGTGCTGAGTCTCTGCGGGAGCACATGGAATGGATGTGGATTGTGAAAAGTGTCAACTGGAGAGTCAGTAATCTACTCCGGTTCGACCACCCAGGTGACAACAACGAGCACACTGAAAGAGTGAGAGGCTATCACGATGTCACCAGTGCAGCCAAAGCCCTAATGCAGTGGAAATCTATTTCACACAGGATCATGACAGCAAGTTTTGACTCAAAAAGAAGAAAGGAAAGAAGGCCACATTAAGCAAATGCAACAGACAACGCGAAACCAGAGAAGGAAGATTTCCACGGATTTCTACAAATAGTAATGGACAAACATTGAACGACACACAACAAACGAGCTTGATTTCTACTCAGTGCTCTTCTATGAAGTGGAGACGAAGCACACTGAATGCAAATTCAGGAATAGGGTCAAATGTGAGATCAGACCAATATCCAGCTCAACGAAACATCAATGTGAGGGTGACGTCCTTCAAAACAACTGGAGACAGACCACTGTTTTTCAAGTTGAACAATCAGAAACTCAGGAATGCCTTTTCTACAGATCAGAGCAAAGCAGAATCTGAGACACTACTTGGCATCCATGCGGAAATCTGCGTGGAGGAACATTGGATCTCACTATATGGAGGTGGTGTTCAAGGAAATGTGCACAACTGTTTCAAAAAGAAAGAGGAAACAAGAAAAGAGATGGAATGCTTCTCAACGGACACTTGACTGAAGTGTAATCGAGGAGAGGAGAGGAGAGGAGGATGGTGAGAGAGAGAAGATGACTGAATGCAAAGATAGACACGAGAAGGAGAAGCTGAGTTCAATGTACACTGCACTGAATAAGGAAAGAATTGAATTAGAAGAAGAAAAGTGCTAGGAAGGACTAGCGACAATTCTACAACACACTGGCCAGCGGCTGAAGCAGAACAAGCATGCATGCAGGCAGGCCACAGGTAGGAGATTCTTCAGGAGATCATATCAGATAACCGGATGTCTACCCCGGTAGAGATCTACCCAGATGATGAGACCAATAAAAGATGTTCGGAGGAACCTGGTTACCAAGGAGGAGAAACAAATAAGACAATGCGCTGATCACTGTAAAGAACTCTGCAATCGACCACAACCCGCAAATCAATCAGCAATATCACCACCACCAACAACAAAAACAACGACAGTACGCAAACAATTGTCTGTCACGTGACACAGACCCTCCAACGAAAGCAGAAAACTCAATGTGATCAAGCTACTGAGACGAAGTCGGGAGGGCGGCAGGACCAGATGGAATTTCTACAAACCGAACCGCTGAAAAGGACTCAGAGACTGTGATGGTTGTGCTCACGCGACTAATCCAAAAGATTTCGAAGTAAGACTGTCTACCAAGTCTAGCTGCCAAAGAAGGCCACCTCAGGCATCAGTCTCCGCAAACTGATGTAGAATCACGGTCTTCTCCACGCGTTGTAAAATACGGAGTGACATCATGATGGAGAGAAGAAAAGATGCACTGTAATTAGAAATCCACCAGCCTAGAACAAGCTACGTTCATGTGCTGATCAAACTGTAACTCTACAAATCATCATCACAGAACAAAGTATAGAACAGAATGGCAGTCAAACCTCTACCCAAATGTGATCACTTTTGAGGAAGTAACTGCTTAGACAGTTTCTACGACGTGCATTACTCAAGTCCTCATGAGCCGTATTCAGCAGCTGGCTATATGACATTGCCACGTGTCAGGCAATCTAGAAAGGAAAACTCGGCGAGGCGATCGAAGTCATTAGAAGAGTAAGACAAGGCTGGCTGCCTATTTTTTTCGTCAAATTCACAATTGGCGTTTATTGGATTATGCGTCAGACTGTTTACACGGAGCGAGGAACCTGGAATAGACTCGACATTTGATCAGAAGATTCTGGAAGAAGTGGATTGCACGCGTGAATGATATATGCTTGATGTCACACAAATTTGAAAATTTGCAGACGAAAAGCAACAAACGGGCTGCAGAGGCATCGGAAACAGGACTCCAGGTGAACACAGAGAAGAAAGAGGTGATGAAGATAACCAATCAACAGCAAGAACAACCAGCATCAATCACCATCAACAGGAGAGACTTAACAGAAGTTAACTCCTTACCTCACGGAACGGATGAAAATGTCAAATCAGGCAAGAATCGGAAAGGTAAGGCAAGATAAGCCTTCATCAACCTAAAACGAGTTTCAAAATCTTCTGCACTCTGCCTAAGCATTGGGAAAATGTGTCGCATTTTCAACACCAATGTCAAGTCGATCATTCAGTCCTTCTAAACGGGTCAGAAACGTGGCCAGCGAATTACGGAAAGGAATTCCAACAGTTTGCAGACTTTTATCGACACCTTACTTCGCTGGCTCCACACTGAAGGTCAAACGCCCAGCCAGAGATAATTAGTGATAAGAAATCCTGGCTGGGAGCAAATGGAGATAGACTTAGCATAAATTAAGGAGGCCTTCGTAGGTCATCGCGCCAGGCGATTGGTCGAGTGTAATCCGAAATGTGGGCAACAAGTGAGTCGTCTGTGTAAAGGTGACATAAAGGTGATCATAAGAACGGAGATCATGGGTAATCGTGTACCCAGGTGAAGAGGATAGCAGAAAGTAGGAAATAGTGTTGAAGTGTACCTGAAGCGCTTCTTTCCACTCGGAAGCAAAGGGAATATTAATAATTATATGAATATGTTATCACAATCCATCAACTTCTACTTTGATAAACTGTTTACTCTTGCATACTAACTTCCCACCCTCCTACATTTTTCTCATTTGATCTCACCTCCACTACTTGACTATGACTTTGTGACAAAGTAAGGGGCGTCAAAGCTGTAGGCAGCGTGTGTAGCCTTTCTTTACGCCTTTATAATTCATTTACTTTGCCAGTAGAACATAGGACTTCAAGATAGAGGCTTCACGTTTCTGGAGCAGTGATGATTCGTTTTACAGGATGAAGTTGCTAGCCTCATGCCCAACCTTCCCTCTTTACCAGTCTTATTACTGTCTTGGCGAAGTGAAGGAGTTCGTCCGTGGTCGGGGATCGAAATACAGACCACATTAAGCGTGATTGGCGAGCAGTCTACCACTGTGCCGCCGATGCATCATCCTGTACGTACACGCTGTAATATTGTTTCGGGCAGGCGCATCAATTCTTGCTAGAAATTGGCGAATATCCTCTTGCCAGAACCACAGCTCTCTCCTCATTCATAACTATCCTATTACATCTCTTCATGTGGTAATACAAGCAACTGTAAGAGACTATATCTTCAGACGACATAATATACTAGTTCGATGAAAGATTATTTGACTGGAATTTCATGTGAGAGACGAGAGATGTGTTCGACATGAATGCTTTCAAGAAATAAACGCCACCGTTTATTTCAGCTATCCTAAATATATTCCTGTCAGCATATGTGTTAATTTTCGATTTATTTTCCCATTGCTGATAATATCAACATCGTAATATGTACATTCACATTTGATGAGTCATGTAACGAGGAAATGGGATGGAATATTTTAGAACACGCTAGGAACTTCACTTTGTTTGGAATAAATAGGTTTTATCAGTATTACTATTTTTGTAGTTAGAAAGGACTGTAGCGATGGGTTTGAAATGGAGAAGTGCTGTTGAATGTTGATGTTCCATCTGGAACATATATCAATAATGAGAAGTGGAATCATATCTGTGTTTTGAAATTACTCTTAGTATAATTATTATTACTGGGATTCCTAGGAAACGTGTTGATCAGGCTACGCCACCGTTATGTTAGTCGATAAGCAACTAGTTTAAAAACATGTTCTCCACTCAACTTGACGTCTACTGCCAAAGCACAACACAATCAGCGCTTGAATGAAGTGTGAATTCATGAAGAGAAAGCGTTGCAGCAGTTAAAAGATTTATTTAATTAATTAAATTGAAAATGAAAAATTTACGAAAGTTTCTACAATCTACATGTATTCAGTGTTACATCAACTTTTACATTCATCCTGGTACTTGTCTTCAATAGCCTGTATGAGAATAAAATCAGTTAGCAATATTATTGGATGAAAGACTAGTGGTGAAATAATCGAGAAAGGCTAATTGTGGGAAGGAGGATGATTGATGGTGATCTGTGCGCTTATTCATAGAATCTGAGAATTCCGAATATTTTCAGTGAGTGATGGTTTCCATATCCATCACTTTTCGAGGGAATTGACTTGCTGCATTTCACTTATTCATTATGGGTCGTGTAACTTTCACCAGCTTGTTTGCATAGCCTCAGTGACATTTCTGAAATGCGCTTGTGTATTGTCATACATTCACCATACCATCTATTGTGATCCACTACGATAGTGATCATTGGAGAATGTGATTACGGCAACCTACAACAACACTCATGATGATTTCACCATCCGATTAAACAGGAGTATTCGAGGCTGTTATTTGAACCACACATTCAATAAACAGTATTTGAACCGAAAGATAGTAGAATAGTCGATAATGAAAAATATTATCTAATTGTTGCGGTGAATTTCTGCATCCTGTGTTGTTCTTTTCCCACTCATCATCCTCCATCCAGACTGACAAACATTTCGTGCGTTTCACATTCTATTCACTAACCCGATAACAGACCTTCGCATCCTATAATGTGTAAATATGATGTAAAATAAATCTCACCTCACAACTCGTTCAATTGGGTTTCGTATAGATTCTTGAAAACTAGAAATGATAAGAAAGGTTGATAAATATTTGAATCGACCAGTGAAAAGATCTATTGTCCATCACTACGTTTGTCTGATAACTAAAATTAGATAGGCACTGACTATCCGCGCAACAAAATCACAACCGTTACACTGTTCCCGCACAGAAATGCTCAATTGTGAAGTTTAATCAAACAGAGAAAATGAACTCACAAACTTCAATGCTAACCCAGTGCTTGTGGTCGAATAGTATTCGGGTTAGCCTATTCAGTTGATGCAGATCTGAAATGATTCATGAAGGAATATCTTGCAGACTGAATATCTCACAATCATAAAACGACGTTGAAACTCGAAATTATGCGACATGAAATGATGCAAAACAGTCTTTTTGTTGCGCACAGATTCAACCAGCTGACTACTCTACAAACTCATCCACTTGGAATATGTTAAGAATGCACAACTTTCAAAATTCAGTCATCATGTCGTCGTTATATTAGTACTCGATCAGTTTCGCCTTCAACAAATAGTCTTTTTTTGTGTGTATTTCTATTCACAATCACATTATCTCAACAGTTGCATTTGTAGACGCCCAAAAGCATTCTGAACATCAAACTTGTTCATCCTCCTTCAGACATTATTACCTGACTCTTGGTAAATACTCATCACAGACTATCGTACACTGAGAGGTGGATGTTCATGAATTCAGATCATGATGGAGGTATTGTGACATGTGGAAATATACCTTCATCGTAGATGAATGTGAAAATGTTATTCATTTCATCAAGAATGTAAAAAAAAGAAACAAACGAATACCTTCGTGGGGCGCTGAAGGCATATTTTTGAAACAGTTGTTTAAAGGGTACGTCTGCTTCATCTCTATCCAAGGGTGAGTAAGAGTAAAACACAGTTTGATTATTAACTCAAATTTACAATAGATATGTTGAAACTGGAATTTCGAAAATCGCTTTTGAACACAGACGAAACAACAATTCAGACTGGTTAGCGTAATACAGTGCTACTTACTATAATATTGTACGGCTACTTGTCGGCTACAGTTCACATTTTTGTCAAATTTGGAGTTATTTTCTGTAAATAAATGAGTGTCACACATATCAACCTGTTTCTATTCTTCTCAATATAATGCACATTTATGCATGTTAAAGGTAAATACAATCAGATTTAAGACGAATAAATTATGTTTACCAGTTGACGGAATGTCAGATAATATACGAAATATGAGAAATACATCAGTCGAACAACTGTCCTCGAGCACCTACTCATGTCACGTGCATGAGGAAATTCTCCATCTTTATTTGATGTTAGCGAATAAAAGGCAGGACTGAAATAGTAACAGTTGTGATGGTAGAGCGCTGATATATGCCAGAAGAAGACTATTAGTCAGAATGTTGACGAGGAATAATTATGACGGTAAGTAAGTACAGAAATGATTCAAAATATTTAGCTTACCATTGTCTAGGCGGTCTGCGATTTCTGGGAAAGTTAGAAAGAAGTTTATATATTCAGCATGTCAGATCAATTTTCAGTTAACAAAATTTCAAACATGCATCTCATGGCAGTTGCATAAGCGTTAATTAATGAAATGATCAGTGAGTGAGAAAGCAAATCATCAACAGGGAGTGTATCACGAAACCAACTTCAGATTTATCAGATGAATAGTCAATGTAGTGAACAAATTTCATGAATAAAATGATATTTCGAATTAAGGGAATTTGGTAGAACTCACTGTCTATTGCGACCTCTCCCCAAATGTATTTGTATGCAGTTTTCAGGCAGTTCATATCTAAAACAGATCGTCCATCATTTCAAAAACTCAACTTGCTTACACTTTTCTAAATCTCCTTGTAAGCTTGGATTTTGACTGAGAATCTTGTCTAAGAAAACAGAAAAGCGAAAGCGTTGAATGTTAAAAGCATGTGGAGTTGTGTATTTCATTTCAGTTACTATCTGCTCCATAGAGGACGAAATGAAATATTGATGTCATCATAGTAATAAATTCGAAAGCGTAATTCATGGCATATTTTCGTAAGCGTTGAAACATTGACAAAAATATGGCATCATATTTTACGCACATTTACGAATTTGTACTGCCTTTTCTGCGTCATCCACTATCCACTTGACTCCGTGTATATTGTCTGTAAGGAAACGAGAATATTTTGTATGAGTTGTCAAACAGGAAGTAAGATCTATAAAAATATATTTATGAAATCTCAGCCAAATTGAAATGATTAATTCCAACGTTTCGTTCGACAATCTGGTCCAAACTTCTTCAAGGAAATTAATCGAATTAACTTAACAGAGGTAAGATCACCGAATGCAAGTCAATGAATTCTCAAGTGAAATGATAAAATCGAATAAAACGCATTGAAAATGTGCTTACTGTTGGTAGTAGAAAGCATATTTGCGATGCTCTGTTTATTCCACGGTTGTCCTTGAATTCACAAGAAGAAATGCAAACGATTGTTATTATACAGAGGAGAAGTTTTAGAATACTGAAAATTATTAGAACAATTTCTCCACTTGAAATGCATCAAACTCCTCTTGAGCACTTTCTGTATGTAATTGCAGTCCAAATACACATCATCTCAAAGTGTGTATTCAAGCTATTTAAATCTTAGGAAATTTTAGACTGACACATTATCGAAATGCGATAACGTGTCACTGTGAAAGTTCTACTATACACAGTTTCTGAATCAAAATTATGTTAAAAGACGTCTCGGCGGTTATACTGCTGGTCACCATGAACTAAACAAGATGACTTTGAGATGAAAGCAAAACACAAAACTGGCCATTATGGAATAAAGGCTCAACCAGAGAGAATGACCCATGAGAGTAACCAACAAACTATTCAGCAGTCTCAGTGAATAAGGCAAACACGTCGTGCGGAAATAAGCCACAAATACACTACCTCTTGAAAAAATGCTTACCTGCATTTACGGCTGCAAATGTCAACAGAGTGACGAAAGCTATGTGGCTGTATGCAAAGTAGACCATCTTCTTATGGCAACTGACTTTCCGTTCGCTTATTTATACCACAACCAAAAGTCACAGTTATTGTTGTAATTGGTTGATTACAATAATCACGATTTCATCTTTCATTTGTGGAAGACTGTGAGTGTTGTGATTGGTGAGTGAAACAACCTCTCATAATATCGGATGATTCATATAATGAATCAATGGAATCTGATAGGTGTAATGAAATCTATCGATCTGCAGAAACACTTCAATCCAAATAGTAGGCAGAATTCATATGATGGCGTCCAAAAGAAAAAAGCACACTCACAATACATAGCGGAAGAGCACATTCGTGGAGTCAGCCCACTTTGCGACAACTTGAATTAGACTTACTAATCTGCAACTGAAGCTGGAATTTTTATTCGCGACAGTTCAACACTAAACACATTATGGCATATTGTCAGCAGGAATGTTTCACGTTAATTCCTATTAATAAACTATTCATGAGGCTCCACAGTAACATTGCACGAATGTCAGAATACGATATTCCGTGTAGACAAGTCGGAATTCCATCAGACAGTGTGCTGAGTGCGCTGGTATTACGCGAAAGATTGACATTTAATCGGATTGTCATTTTATTGTAGTTGAAATATGCAGTCATTAGAAATATGAGATAGAGTGTGATTAAACAAGTAATTGACACGATTGAGCGTTCATAATTCATTCATAATTCCTACCTTCAATGTTGTCAACATAAGTGCACAAAATGAAAAATAAAAGTGGTGTAAAAAGAACTAACTTCCTTATCAAGTCTGAAATGCAGAGATTGAATGTTATAAATATAACCGGAAATTCATATCCTGCAAAAATGCTTCAAATATGTGGAAACTATTTAAGGAAATCACTGGTGGTAAGCAGATGAACAATATTCCGTATTCTTCTGATGTATGTACTCTTATTAAATCTTTTATTTATTCTCCCTCAAATTCCATGCATCCCAGTATCACTAGTGTTAATAATAGCCCCTTTCCAGGTTTTAACACAAATGATGTTCAAAAGTGCCTCAAGTCTCTGAACCCTTCCCAGAGCTTAGGTCAAGATCATGTACCTAGTATTATTTTCAAAAAGTGTTCAGATATTCTATGTTACCCTCTCACTGATCTGTTTAACAAATCTTTTTCTAGTAATATTGTGCCTGCTGTTTGGAAAGACATTAAAGTTGTACCCAAACCTAAATCGTCTACTGGAGCATGTATCAAATTTAGACCCATTGCTATTACCTCTCCTTTTTTGAAAACTATGCAGAAACTACTTTTACTTAGTCTCGTAACCTCTCTTAAATCCTTTAATGACCCAAAACAATTTGCCTATAAGCACAATAGAAGCACTTTAGATGCAGTGCCGTCTTATATCGTAACATTGCTTCCAGTCTAGACAAAGCGGCTAAATTCATTCGTTGTGCCTTCCTAGACTATACATCTGCTTTTGACTCGGTCCCTAAGGACATCTTACTAAATAAACTTGCTGCAAGTCAAACAAAATGTTGGGCTGTTAACTGGTTACACTCTTATTTCTCAGAAAGAAAGCAGTACACCGTGTATAAAGGGAAGTCTTCTACTTCGTTGCCTACTGAAGCTGGTGTCCCTCAGGGCGCTGTCCTTTCTCCTTTTCTTTTTTCTTTCTTCTTACATGACTTGCCTCAGTCTGATGAAATACACTTTTTGAAGTACGCTGATGATGTAACTGTTTCAATGGCTGTTAACTCCCAGCTAGATTGTACCAAAAGAAATAGCTTTCTGTCGGGAGTCAGTAAATGGTCTGAGTCAAATGGTCTTAAACTGAATCCTTCTAAATGTCAAACTGTTAATTACAGCTTGAGATGTAAACGACAGTTAAAAGAAGCCGTCGATTCTCATGACAGTTGTAAGATTGGTGACAATGATATAGGGATTAAATCAGAAATTAAGTATCTTGGACTTATTCTCTCTTCTGATCTCTCCTGGTCTTCCCATGTCTCAGCGATCTCCAGTAAAATATTCCGCCTGACATTTTACATTAGGAAGTTAAGGCACTCAGGTTTAACTCAACCCATCCTCTTACAGTTCATAAACTCTTGCATCCTACCTACTCTTCTTTATTGTTCACCCTTATTCTTTCCTGGTTTGCTTAAAAAGGACTTTGTCACAATTCGTAGAATGCTGAAGACTGTCAGTAGGATGAGTGGTGTCCCAGTGGACTACATAGTCAACGTCGTTGTCGATAGGCATTTGACTTCGTGCAGTAAATTTGCTAAAGGGATTTTGTCTGACTTGGAACATCCACTTCACCCTCAGCTTTCACCTTGCATCTCCTCAGGTAGAACAAGAAGTAACTTCAGAAAACTGTATGCTCGCACGTCTAAGTATAAAAATTCTATGATACCATACTTGTCACGTATTTTATGTGATGAAAATAGTGTCAGGCAAGAATTGACTAACCTTTTTTCATCTGGTAAATAAACGATCTCCTCCATCCATCTTTATATACCTTCAAGTTTTACTTTTATTATTTCTATTATATTTATGGTTCTGTTGCTTCTTGTTTTTACTTTCATAACTGCAAACACCAACTTATCTCTATGACTGCTGTAATCTTTGTTTTTTCCCTCACCATATCATGTAAAGAGAACATTATATTCAATATTTTTAATCATGCAAGGATTTGTATACCGCATCGACAATACCGTGTGAAACAAACCCACGGCAATTTTCACTTGTACTATTATCATTACCTTAGCTGCTATCATTATTATTATTTCCATTTTATATGCTGCATGTTTTTTATTTTTTATTTTCTTTATATTAACCCTATTGTAAATGTAGAAATATTTTCTGTGTGATTAATTTAATTTATAATTTGAGGAAATTAGATGCAATATTGTGATTAACGCTGAAAATTCCATTCTGTATCACAAGTAATGTTTTTGGAATAAAGTAAATCATTATTATTATCTTTTACGCTATTTCCGACTACCTCTAGTCATACGACATCCATGAAAGTAATTGGCCGTTCAAAGCATAAATGAAGTAGTCAATCTGACGTTGACAAATAAGAACGTAGAAGAAAAATCTGCTTACAAATATTCACTAACGCGTGAAGGCTCCAAGTATGAGTTATAAACCGAAAGACTAGATTGAATGCACATGGTTAGGCACACTTCGGTGAAAGACTTCGGCGACTTAACAATTTGGCACTTCATAGCCCTATTCAAATAATTATTTACTGAGAAACGCAAATCCAAAGTGGAAACAGTGAACTAGTGAGGTGCTCATTTATTCGACAAGGTTTAAATTATTCAGTATCTGAGTGTCAGGTCTAGTGGTTATATGGCATTCACCTGAGTTGAAATACTCCATGGATTCTGTACTTTCTCTCGTGAGAATCTTGTCTGTCTTCTGCTTGGTATTTATTATTCTACTCATGAACACTTCCACTTCGCCTTTCATTGACTCAAATTTAGCAGACAAATTGAATTCTTGTTTCTGCATGGAATGGCTTTCTTCGAACTCCCTCTGACTTCTCTCATTTGATCTTTATAATTTTTACATCTGACAGGTCTGGAGAAGTTAGTGAGGACTGAAGTGTGAAAAAATTAATCGTCCTCATAATTTACTATTCAGACGTTTAAATTAATCTTATTCCCACACCTATGACTTCCCTCTAATCACTCCTGCTCTACCCAGACCAATGTAATTACCCAAAGGATATTTCGTCTAATCATCAGCGTAAAGAGGGCAAGAAGATCTCCTTTAACAGTTCCTTAATTCTTATCAGTCCTTGTAAACCTTACTTAAACCTCCCTGTTGCGCTAATTAGAGGCTCTGGTGGGTGTTCAGCACTGAGGACTGTTGGTAGGACATGTGGGCTTTCGCCAAGTCAACTCACTAATATTATTGTGAACAGACACCTGAACGCCCAAAAGGAAATGGAGAATACCTTCGTGTCAGAGTGAGAGCATCCTCTTCATACGCAACCCTCCACACACGTCTCAAACATAGAACCAGATGCGATTGTAAACCATTTTATACTTTAACAACATGATGTAAACAATTCACGAACAATTATTTGTCAAATTGTTGATGTGATCAGAGAAAAGTTATATGAAAATTTGTTTTGTTGAAATCTGTCCTTCAAAATATGT